ATTATATATATACACATTTTTTTATGCACAAAACTATGACCAAAATTGGACTAAATCAGGAAATAAAACAGAGTGATTGGCAGTAATGAGAACAGATAGAGGACATTCAGGGTTTACTGAAGACATCCTGCTACCGGCCAGGTTATCTCTGGAGAGAATGTTACTATGGTGACTGAAACAGAGAGAGAAGAAACTCTCTTTGTGAATCGGAAAAGTCAAAGAAGCAGGTTTACTGCTACTGTTTCACGAAGCAGTAAACCTGCTTCGTGAAACAGACCCCTGGTCTTCACACAGCATGCTGATGAGAGCAGCTGTGATTTTAAAACGGGTCGCTTGCCGAGTTGTTTCACTCAGTTAGATATGCGTCAGTGTGCTGTTCCCAGTGGCACTAAAAGCCGATCTTTCCCGGGTTTTTCATAACTGGAATATCAGTCGGGCATCCTGAAAGGTAGCTGTGGAAGTTTTATAACTGTCAATACAAACTTGAATGTCTCTAACCAGTGCTGCACCATGTTTATCGACTATAAACAGAGTTTTTTCGGCTTGTTAGATCAGAAGAGACTGGTGGGCTAAGTTGACTTCCAAATGATGCTCTCAATGCTATCACATAAATTAGCCTGTGGACCTGGATCTGGTGTTCACACAGCATGCCAATGAGAGCCACAGTGATTTTAACAAGGGTTGCTTGTCGAGTCCTTTAACTGGAATAGACACGGTTCAGTGAGCTATTCCCAGTGGGGCCAAAAGCCAATCTTCATGGGAGTTAAATGGGTTTTCAACCAGTGGGAAAAGGGTAGAACTCTTAAACGCTTGAGATTTTTTGTCTTTTTTTATTTCAATACACTAGAATGAGATTATTAGCAAAGCTTTATTGCTGCAAGCAGGAGAGTTTGGCCATGTGGTCTAGTGTTGCCAAGTACTGGGCTACCAAACAAGAGGTTACCAGGAGTGGGGTTCGAACCCACTCATTGGATCTTAAGTCCAACGCCTTAACCACTCGGCCATCCTGGTCACTGTGTTCTGCAAAAGTCTATATCGCACATCACAAAATATTAAAGTCAAACTTTATTTATAAGATGTAAACAGAGAAAAAGTTTTTTATCTTATTGAAACCTGAGGTAACGATGACTAGATACTGCTGTTAAAGGAGATGATGTACAGTTGGTCAATAAAGCTGTTTTGAATAAAAGTCGACTGGCCAGATGCAACATGTTTGTATTCTTATTGCAAATGTCTCTTAGTTTGTCTGCTA